TCAAATTAGATGTGTGTGATGTCCAAATACAAAGTCTACAGTTCCTTACGAATTGGGAACTCAAATTACCGATATTGGCAACCTAGAATATAAAATAAGAACCTCCTATCTTTTGTATTTGCTTTTTTATACCTATCACCCCATTGTTCCTTCTAAGCGTGTACCTAGTTCCTAAAACCCATTTCCTTTCTTCATTACAAGGAATATTTTTACGCGCCCTACCTCGTTCGTTCTATCCGCTATTGCGAACTCAATTTCACACACAACATTTATTTCCCATCTTCTTATAATATTACAGACCTTTTTAGTCATTCTGTTTGCATACCTTATCAGAGTTGATGCTTGTGTTAATAGAGAAGTATCACTTAAAAAGATAGGTACAGTGGCGAATGTGGCGTATACATAGGTGAGGCAGCTGCTCTGGGGGCTCGCCTGACACAGTTCTTGAAAGGTTAACTTGTGATATACACCAAATTAATACTTTTTGTATCTAGGGGCTCTGGTGATAATATTCAGTCCCAACTTGTATAGGCCCAAATGTAAGATACACAAAATTAAAATTTTTGGGACTCGGAGGCCTCCTGATATTCATACAGTTGCCACTCGTGAAAGGCCAATCTTTGAACAGGGCCAGCGCGGCAATTTTTGAGAAATACTAGAAGCCTCTTTTTATTTTATAATTTAGTGTATTCTTTTACTTACGTAACATTAGTAGGATTGGGCCGTGTGAATATGAGTTTTTTGTGGAGGTATTCTTGCCCCAGAACCTTTAAATGCCTATGTATGCTAGTGGTTATGAGATTATTACTTACATACCTGCGACAGTCATCTTGTTGATTAAGTGTTGCTGTTGAATGTGGGGATATTTTTGCCCCAGAACCTTCACATGTCTATGTATGCCACTTTTTAGGTATATTATTGCTTATGTACCCTGCCACAGTCATCTTGTTCATTAATTGTTGTTGTTGAATGTGGGGGTATTCTTGCCCCCAAACCTTCAAATGCTTATGTTTGCTACTGGTTAGGATATAATTGCTTACATACCCTACCACAGTCATCTTGTTGATTAATTGTTGCTGTTGAGAGTCCTTTTAAAATAATTTGTCTCAGCTCTGCCTCATCCCCAGAAAGGCAAGCCTTCAAAAATGAGGGGTCAGTTGAAGATTCTTTTGGTGTTGGCTTAATAGAGTTTCCAGGTAAAAAGGAGAGGGGTTGGTACTGATGACTTGTCCGGCCGTCACTCTGGTTTATCGCTCTACAGCTGTCTTCATTCCACTGATACCTAGTAGAAAAGTACAGAGATTGGGTACGAGAAACTGTGGAAGTTACACTATTGCTTGTTTCTACTGCAGTCGTATTTCGTTTTGAGAGTTGCTCCTTTTCGCTGCACTTGTGGGTCATTTTGACTGGAAAAGTATGCATACTGTTGTCTAACATGTTCTTTTATCAGCATAAACGTTGGACGAAGCCCTGTTTTATTACAAGACGGTAGGAAATCCTGAGGGGGAAAAAACATTTAAAATAAGTCTTGAATTCAAGTTTAGCAAGATAACTCCTTTTTCTTATAGCACTTTTCTTTAGATTTCGAAGCTGAATACTTGAAAGCGAAAATAACTATAACTTAAAACCCCAAATGAATGAATTAACAAAAGAGCTGAAATTGGATAAAAATTCGATAAAAAAAAAACAATTTTAGATGCAATTAACATTCACAAGTCCCATGTGACGACCATATCTAATTTTTCGTTAACTCTGTTTTTAGATTTTTTTAAATCACGAAAATTAAATTTAAGTGCATGTCATTTTTTTGGCGTATTTCATATTAAAAAGATGACATAGATGGGTAAAATCGAAGGAGAAAAGAGTTAGAGGCAGGCAGAGATTCACTAGGCATCGATGACAGTAGAAAATGGAGACGAATGTGAATTATGGTACAATATAAAGTACTACAAGACCTAATCTGTTAGAGTCAATTCAGATGATGAAAAGATGTCAATGAACGAAACCACGTTAAACAGAGAATGAAAAAATCAGTTGAAGAAAAAACTGAGTAAATCGGTAAAGGAAATTAATAAAAAAAGTAAAACGAAAAAAATATCGAGAAGACCGTGCGATGATATGAAACTATTCGTGCGAAAACATTCACTGGATAATACAGTCGAGAGAATTACTGTTTGGTCTTCCTTAGATGATCTGGAAGGAGATAAGTCAAAGTTTCTGGAAAGATGGTTTGTTTGTTTGTTTTAAATTTCGCGCAAAGCTACACGAGGGCTATCTGCGCTCGCCGTCCCTAATTTAGCAGTGTAAGACTAGAGGGAAGGCAGCTAGTCATCACCACCCACCGCCAACTCTTAGGCTACTCTTTTACCAACGAATAGTGGGATTGCCCGTCACATTATAACGTCCCCACGGCTGAAAGGGCGAACACGTTTGGTGGATGAAAAGAGGGAACTGTACATCGTGCCATTCAAATAATTATAAAGAAAAATAATTGAAAACCTAAAATAACGAATGTCTGACCACAGTTCAGCAGGTAGCGTCTAAAGTAAATATATATACCCGATTAATTGAAGATAAATAAGTGAAGAAACATTGGAAAATAATGCTTGACGAAAGAGCTCACAAAGAATACTTGAACCTCAGTCGTTTCGATGGTAGTTCATTCACTTTTGCACAAAACTGTAGCACATAAACTGGTTCTGAAACACCGGGGGTTTGGTAAATCCCAATAAATATAATTTTTTTCTTCTTAATCCCTTGTGATAAGAACACAGATATGATTATTCTTTTATAGATGATTTAATCCCTTGTGATAAGAACACAGATATGATTATTCTTTTATAGATGATTTAATCCCTTGTGATAAGAACACAGATATGATTATTCTTTTATAGATGATTTAATCCCTTGTGATAAGAACACAGATATGATTATTCTTTTATAGATGATTTAGGCAAAGTCATTCGAAACGTCATCCTCGTGCAACTTTTGTTGATTAATCTTCCAAAACTTTTTCCACGTTTCACCTTCGTTTGTTCACCGATACGAATACTTTAAACAAACAGTTAATTATTTTGAAATTTTTAAAAAGTTTTCTTGAAATTTTTTATCCCTGAGATGCGCCCCTCAAATTGTTGCGCTCTAGTCCCAAGCCTTGAAGGCCTATTGGTTAATATGGCCATGGTTATGAATTCTAAAGCCAAGAGAAAGGTCTGATTTATAGTATTATCACATTATCCCTGAAGGAATAGTGGGATGGAGGATGTATCAAGGGTGTCGTAATCACTAAAAAACTAGTATATTACTATTTTCCTCGTACCAACACACACGTTATACATATATATACATAGGGAGATAACGTCACATAATTTGAAAAAATGTCACCTTCTATTCCCCCGTGGCTAAGCTTTAGGACTCTTAACACGAACGCTTGTGGGTTCGATCCCAATGGCGGATGGATACAAAGGGAATAACCCACTGTGAAGCTTTGTGCTAAAACAAAAAAACAACAGTATCACATTCTATTATTACTTTCTAAAGGCGTCTATCTCTCTTTCGCTATCGAAAGTTAGTAAATGTTTCAGTTTATGTAAAAATCAGTATGCAAGTATGAGAAAAATAATGAAGTATAAATGCTCTGAGGTGAAATTAACTTAAAATTAATTTTCCGTATCAGTTACATTGTGGAAAGTGAACGTAATAGTCATGATATCTCGCAATGATTTGACATACTGGTTATAAACAATGCTGGATTAAAATTAATTGGCGCTCTCGAATGACTCACCAGAAAAAAATTATCCACCGACACAAAAACACCAATAGGTTAAAATGTAATGAAACTGATGGAAATTTGTTTTTGTTAAGCTTTTCACTTGCTGATTGCGCATGTGTGTGTCTATGATTTACGACAACGTCTGTGTATATAAATCTATACAATGGCGCGGGTAAAAACTCGTGCATTACCGAATAATTTCAAATTAATAATAACAACACAAATCAAGGGGATTAACCTACATTCACTATTTCCGGATTTGAGAAAGTCAAGGTAAGCATGCCAGCTCCGTTTGACTTTAAAACCTTTCCACATAAAACCACTACCAAGTATTTGTTTTTATGGCAAAGCTACTAAAATTATTCGTCCCTAATTTTGGCCCTCCAGCATCAAGACAAGTCCTCATACTTGAACCAATATTGAATTTTGACCTTGTTTGTAAACAATATATTTTGATGGGCATAATTGATGTAAAACATTACTTACTTAATACACTTGCTCTTAAATGGAATTTCACTAAATTCAGCAAAAACAACAACAACAAAATACGTTATACAGTGACTGAAAATATATTTTGAGCGACTTAACTTTATACTTATCCAATGTTAATGTAGTATATTAAAAAAGTGAACATGGGGTTTAACGGGAAACTGGAAAAAAGATTTTTTCGGTTTAAAGCTCAAGTGATTTTAACACAAAGTTGTACTTGGAAGGTTGTAGAAAGATAGACAGACGTCGTGGAAAAATATGTTACTACATTAGATAATAAAACAAAACCACAACTAGCTAAAATTACATCAGATAAGGTTTCTCCATAGTGAGGATTTCGTTCGAACTAAATCAGTTTTCATCAGATTAGGTTTGTCCATAGTGAGGTTTTCGTTCGAACTGGACCAGTTTTTATCGGAACAGTTTTGTCCGTGGATTTCTTTCAAACTAGATCAGTTCTCATCAGATTAGGTTTGTCCATAGTGAGGATTTCGTTCGAACTAAATCAGTTTTCATCAGATTAGGTTTGTCCATAGTGAGGTTTTCGTTCGAACTGGACCAGTTCTCATCGGAACAGTTTTATCCATATTAAGGATTTCGTTCGAACCAGATCGGTTCTTATCAGATTAGGTTTGTCCATAGTGAGGATTTCGTTCGAACTAAATCAGTTTTCAACAGATTAGGTTTGTCCATAGTGAGGTTTTCGTTCGAACTGGACCAGTTTTTATCGGAACAGTTTTATCCATAGTAAGAATTTTGTTCGAACTAGATCAGTTCTCATCAGATTAGGTTTGTCCATGGTGAGGTTTTCGTTCGAACTAGATCAGTTATCATCAGATAAACTTTTTCCATGGCGAGAAAAGTTTGGTTTGGTTTGAATTTCGCGCAAAGCTACACGAGAGCTACTTGCGCTAGCCTTCCCTAATTTAGCAGTGAAAGATTAGAGGGAAGGCAGTCAGTCATCACCACCCACCGCCAACTAGTGTCAGCCAATAAGGCTTTTCGTAGCACTTTATTCTGTGTAGATTGTCAGCCAATAGGGCTTTTTGTAAAACTTTATTCGGTGTAAACTGTCAGCCAATAGGGCTTTTTGTAGCACTTTATTCTGTGTAGATTATCAGCTAATAGGGCTTTTCGTAACTCTTAATTCTGTTGAGAATGTCAGCCATGCAGATTTATGTAACTTTTAATCTGTAGAAGGCGTCGTTCAGTGGAATTTTATGGGACTTTTTATTTTACGATATATGCCTCGTGAGGTAGAGAAATTACCTAAAAAAATAAACAGTCATACTAAACACATATATTATATCACAACTTCCAGTGGACAAACTTTCTCAGATTATCAGCTAATAGGGCTTTTCGTAACTCTTAATTCTGTTGAGAATTTACACCGAATAAAGTGCTACGAAATGCCTTATTGGCTGACAGTTTACACCGAATAAAGTGCTACAAAAAGCCCTATTGGCTGACAATCTACACGGAATAAAGTGTTACGAAAAGCCCAATTGGCTGACAGTTTACACCGAATAAAGTGCTACAAAAAGTCCTATTGGCTGACAATCTAAAAAAAGCTCTATTGGCTAACAGTTTACATAGAAAAAGTGCTACAAAAAGCCCTGTTGACTGACAATCTACACAGAATAAAGAGCCACATAAAGCCACATTGGTTGACGTTGCTCCGGTCGACCTAGTTTAACTGGTAAAAGATGACTCTGCATTTCTGCTGGTCATAGTACAGGTTTTATTCCCTAATATATTCTGTATTACACTCAAGAGTATCAAAATATGAAGAAACTGTGGAGATATTGGAAAGCTGTAACACGCATACGTATGTATGTACGTTTGTACCTCGAAAGTGTTTAAAATTTTTATCTATATTTGAATTTCAGTTTTCTTTTCACTTACGTGCAATAAAACCAATAAACCAAATCACTCCTTTAAAAAGCAAAAAAAGTTCTCAAACGTACAAAACATAATTCACAAGTAAAGCAGTAGAATAAGAAGTCTCAAAAACTTGAAAACATTACACGTTAAGCATTAACTTATCAGAAATTAATTGGACATAACAAATTTCTGATAAGTTAATGCTTAACGTGCTATGTTTCAAGTTTTTATAATAAAGTATTGAACGTTATGTCCAATTTTTTCAAGTTTTTATAATAAAGTATTGAACATTACACGTTAAGCATTAACTTATCAGAAATTAATTGGACATAACGTTCAATACTTGATTATAAAAACTTGAAAACATAACACGTTAAGCATTAACTTATCAGAAATTAATTAGACATAACGTTCAATACTTTATTATAAAAACTTGAAAACATAGCACGTTAAGCATTAACTTATCAGAAATTAATTGGACATAACGTTCAATATTTGATTATCTTTCATCGAGTAATTTTGTTTGTTTTTCTCTCCCCTGATAAAAAATGGAATCGTGTTTGACATTACAACAAAGCTCGATTAACGCTTCATTGTTTTCTCCAGTCTATATCAGAATGTCACCTGGAAGGTATGTGTTGATCGGGGCTAAAAATAGCACTTGTTAATAAGGCGATAAAACAGCCACCAGTTTTGATTTTTCCTTCAGTTGACACCGCAGCTGAGAAACATGCTTGGGACGCTTCGCGTCTGTTTCATCCGAAATGAAGAAAAAGAAAACACAAACAGATAGCTGCATTTGTTATCACAAATTCTTAAATACGTAAAATATCAACGAATATATGTTATGTCAAGTATATTTATGAACTTACCTCATAATCGTTTTCAAGATGAAAGATCAGTTGTATCGTGGAAACTTCTTTAAAATATTCTTAGAATTGAAATTCATTGAGATAATACGTTGATGTAGCCCGTTATTCATAAGCTCATCTTTGGTGTTCTAACAGAAAGAGTAAGCACCGCGTACTACTCTGTTTGAGTATATGACTTCAATCTAGCGGGTGGAGTCGCGCGCAAGGCACGCTCTGTTCGAGGAAAGCGCGCGGAGTGTGTTTATTTTTAGAGTATAAAAGACTGCGAAGGCGCGTCACTTCGATAACAACTGTTGCAATCCCTGTCTTCACACACGATGACATCCAATAGACAGCATACATTTTTATGTTGCACGTGTATCAAAAATATGATAATCGTTCATTTCTGATATGACCTAATCTGCTTTATGGTTGAGGTATCACATACATGCATACTGTCATGTTCCTTAAAATATAGTACCAAACACTAGTTGTATCCCATGTTTGATAATATTGAATACCAATACTATTTCTATCACATGTTTAATAATATTGAATACAAACACTAGTTGTATCATATGTTTGATAATATTGAATACCAACACTGTTTCTATCACATATTTTATAATGTTGAATACCAACACTAGTTATATCACATATTTTATAATGTTGAATACCAACACTAGTTATATCATATATTTTATAACGTTGAATACCAGCAATAGTTCTATCACATATTTTATAATGTTGAATACCAACACTAGTTCTATCATATATTTTATAATGTTGAATACCAACACTAGTTCTATCACATATTTTATAATGTTGAATACCAACACTAGTTATATCATATATTTTATAACGTTGAATACCAGCAATAGTTCA